CGTTGCAGCTGGCCGAGCACGCATCGATGAGTCGTCTGGTCGCGGGCGAGGCTCGGCATGCTCCGGGGCCTTGATCCAGCCCAGGTTCAGGGACTGCGCTATGGGCCCCCCCTCGGCGATACCACGCACAAGCACTTAAGAAGCGCCTCGAACGCGCTCGCTGCCGAGCTGAACCCGGCGCGCCTCATCGCCGCCCAGCGGGATTGCCCCTGGCGGCGCCTTTGAGAGGGGCGCGACCGCGGGCCGCCTCGACGGCGATCCAGCGGGAGGAGGCCGGGGCGCACTGGGTCTTGCTATGGAGTCAGAAGCGAGCCGACCAGGCTCGACATGACGACGTGCCAGACAATGTTTTGTTGGCGCGCCCTCCCGAGGCCCTCCTGCGACTGGTGCGCCCTCTCTCTTAGCGAGCTCGGCGATCGCATTCGCCGCCTTCGCCTCGGCGCCCCGCTGGTCCTAGAGAGATTTGAGCTTCCATATGACGCTCGATAGGCGCTCCTCTGCGCTGCGACTGTTCTCTCGTTCTTCCTTCACCTTCCGAGTCTCCACGCGCCCCTTACCCCCCCTGCTCCTCGCGCAGGTCATCGGCCACGCGTCCGCCCTCTCCATCATCCGGTTCTCGGTGGGACCTCCCTTCCACGGGTCGAAGCGAGACCGAATCCTTCCCGTTCGCGTCGCCATCGATTGGCCGGAGGAGAAGGGGCCTCGCGGGCGCCCCATCGCCCGTCGAGCGACCCCCCTGGCGGCGCCCCCAGGCGCAGCAGTGGCCCGGGGGCGAGGGCGTTCGCGACGCGGGGGTGGATCTGTCCGCGGATCCCCTGTCTCATCCTTGGATCGCTCCGGGCCGACGCTCGATTGCGAACCCTCATCCGCGCGCCGCCGCGCCAGCTCATGAGCGCGCCTGCTCGTCGAAAGGCCCCCGGTCGCATCTTGGCCCAATGGAGCTTGAACCGACGGTCGCCGGGCCACGCGTCGCAGTCGCGAATGGCCTGGCCAACGCCCACCCGCGAATGACGAACGACATCTTCGATTCGAGAACCTGGGTCGTTCACTCCGTCACCCTGCCCCTCCCCGGGGGGCGGAGGCCCCTGCAGGTTGGGTCTCCTTGATTCGGCGTCCATGGGGCAGCCTGGCCTGTGATTCACATGGGGCGCGCACAGGAAGATGCAATGCGTCTCGCGGTCGTCGATAACAGCCCGTTTGTTGCGGCGCCCCTGGTCTGCTTCCTCCACGCGGTTGAGCGAGGCGCGGAAGATTGGGTCGCCCGCGCCTCTCCGCGCCCGCGTCGCGCTGCCCCAGTAGCGACCGCCATCGCGTCTTCCTGGGCCCGCGCCGCGGGCCCGACCCTCGCCCCCCCGCCCCGCGAAGCACTCCGCGGCGTCGCCGCCTAGAAATAGCCCGCCGCGGGATGGCGCCAGGGCGGCGCTCTGACCGCAGATGGAAGGAACGCGGGGAGGCATGAGGGCATCGCGAGGCGATCGGGTAGACGTCGGCGTCGCCGACGTCGTTGGATGGCGCGCCGATACCCATCGGCGCTGCATGGCCCGTTCTCGAGCACAGGGTGCATTTTCTTCTGTGTAGCCGGCATAATTGATGCTGGAGGCGGTTGGTGGTGTCCAGGTCCAATCGTTGCTGCCAGCTGCCTGGCTGCCAATCGCCCGGCCCGCGAGAGGGGCTGCGCATGCGGCGGGATGGCCTGACGACGCGTCGCGTCCAGTGGCTGCTTCTTCCCCGCCGCTGCCGCTGAGGAAGGCGTAGTCTGATTGGAAGTTGGCGCAGCGTGATGCACCGCCGCATCCTCGCCCAAACGCGCCGCCGATGTTCCCAGCAGGCCGTTCGGCAACGTGGCCCGAGGACCGCGTCAGTTCAGGCAGCGAACAATTGTCATCCTGGGTCCTGGGCGTTTGGTGGTTTGGTGGCTGCAACATTTGCGATGCTCGCACTGGCGCTCTCTCGGGGGCCCGAAACAGGATCGTGGTCAATTGGGACTGTCAGATCCAGCTGATTAGCCGCAAGCCTGGCCATCTCAAATCTACCTTCTGTCGGATCGATCCGATCAACTACAGGTACACTAATTTCAATGAGTCGGGTACCCGTGTCGAGTTGGCTTTCTTCTATATGCTCAAATGTGTCGCATCATACGTACATATGACATGTCACAAATTGGGTTCTGGCACCGCGATGTTACACCGTAGTTGATGATATGCGATGGACTACGCATAGCTGTGTTTCGTGCCGAACCTCACAGGACTCGTTGAGGTCGGCCGCTTGCTGTTGTGGTGTGGAGCGTTAAGCCACGCGTGGGCCTCTTGTGCGTATTTCCTGAAGGGCACGAGGCCCGGAGGTTTCCAATGTGGTCCTCTTGTGAGTGCGGCGTCGTCCGTACCACTCTGCACGCAGCCTACAATAAGCCCCAACATAACCCGTAGGATGCCAAATCCAGTGATCTTAAGATAGTTGTTGGAGGCCGATGGTTCTTATGGTTGCTCCACTCTCTGAGGCTGGTGGTCCGATGTTAGGCGTCGCAGGTGTCTTGGCTGCAAGTCTCCATGCTTAGCGTGGAAATTCGATGGTAAACCAGCGTATCTAAGCCTGCTGCCAAGCTGATTGTGCGCGTTTGGGGGAAATTAGTGGCGTAGATCCGCGGTGTATGTATAGACATACATATATAATTGAAACCGGCTTCCAACTCACTGCAAAACACCAGACCACGCCAGCTTCTTGGCTCTTTTCCCCGAGGGGATGTCGGCGCATAGTTGTCCATGTCGGTCATCCACATAGTGCCGTGGGAAAGTGTGAGAAACAGAGCCAGCCACGCAAGTGTGTAGCCAGCTCCGCCACAAAGTAGAACAGAAACCATGCGACGATATAGATGTAGATGAGAGTTGTCCTCTTTAAAAATCAAAGTCGGCCACAACTTATCATCCCATGGTGTCGACCCCATTGACCCCAAAGGGGTTGCGGGTGCGCTCGAGCCCTGCTCGCTCTCACAATTGGCCAGCTCCATTTACCGCCGCCCCCTGTTGACCTGCCACATGGGTGCCTTGCATGCTGGATCCTATACGGTTCGGTGTTGGTGCTTTTCCCCAGGGGAAAAGAGAAGAAAGAAAGCAAAATAACAAAAAACAACGCCCCCTGGGGTTTCAGCCCAGCGCGCCGGCCACCCGGAAAGGTTCCCGAATTTCGTTCCCCGCTTCTGAGACGGCCAAGATGCTTCCAAAATGCCTTCAAGACGCCTCCAAAACTGCCAAGACGGCCCCAAGAGAGCCCAAGATGGCCCCAAGGTGCACTCAAAACGGACCGGAATGCAGCCAAGACGGCCCAAGATGGATTCAAAATAATCCAAAACAGCCGAAGAGGAGCCCAAGAGGGCTTCCCGGAAGGACCGAAAAGGCTAACATCATTGAAATGCTTTGGGTTGTTGAAGGATTTCCAACGATCCAAAACGCCCCAAGAGGCTCCAAAGATGGCCCAGAAAGGCCCCAGAAGGTCTCCAAGACGCCCAAGCTGGCCTCCAAGACGGCATTGAAGCACCCGGAAAAGGCTCCAAGTCGACCCAGCAAGGCCCCCATGACGGCGTCAGATGGGCAAGGAACGCCCCCTAAGACTGGCAAAGAAGCACCCCAAAAATCGCCCAAAGGCTCCCAAGAGACCCAAGGAGGCCCCCGAGATGACTCGAAGCGGCTCCCAGGAAGCTCCCAGGAGGCCCCAAGAGTGCCCCCGGAGGCTCCCAAGCTGCCTCCTCCTCCTCCTTCTCCTCCTGACCTTCCCCACCATCTTCCCCTTAGTGTTCCCCGAAAGGTGTTCACAACGGCTGGGAGAACACATGGCCAGATAGCTTAGCAGAGCTCTTGCCACGACGCTCGGCCACATCGGGGATGCCTAAAGGCAGAGGGCGGCGGTGACTCGCCGCAGACGTCTTCGGTACCTGCACTTTCTCGGTGCTCTACGCGCCCCTGTGGGAAACCTGGGCACACGTGGAGCCCCTGATAGCCCATGGAACGCCAGCGCTGCCAGGAGACCCAGCATGAGCGGGCGTGTCGGCCATCGCTGCTGCCATGGCACCGACGGAGGCGGGCGCGAACCCGCTGCACACGTGGATGAACCGATCGAGGCTGAAGTCGGGCCTGTCCCCCTACAGGGGGATGTTGGGCGAAAAGAAAAATCAACAAATACTCCCCAAAATGCTCAAACATTGTCAAAACATCGTCCCCAGACTATTTTGCTGACTATTTTTGAATATTCCTCCTGTAGAGGGACAGGCCCGACTTAAATCAAGGCTTCTAACCACCCTCAGTTACCGATGCAACGCCGGCGAAAGGACGCGGCGCGGGGCCGAGAGCGAGGGAGGTATGCTCGCATATGCAGGGTCCACTGCGAAGAAGCTGGGGCCGTGGCCAACATCGTTCGCACTGTGACACGCCAGCAGAGCCAGACCATATAATGATGCGTGTGATGATGATGATGATGATGCTGATGATGATGATGATGATGATGATGATGATGATGATGATGATGATGGTGATGATAATGACGACGATGATGATGCCGATGATGATAATGCTGCTGATGATGATGATCATAATGATGATGCTGATGAAAATTATGATGATGACGATGATGATGGTGACGACGGCGACGACGATGATAATGATGATGGTGATGATGATGGTGATGATGAGAATGATGATGCTGATGCTGATGGTGATGCTGATGGTGGTGATGATGATGGTGATCATGATGACAATGATGATGATCATGATGATAATTATCGTGCCGATAATGCTTATGATACTGGTTATGATGATGACGATGATGACGATGATGATGATGATGCTGATGCTGATGACGATGATGACAATGATGATGATGATGATGATGATGATGATGATGATGATGATGATGATGGTGATGATGTTTATACTGATGATGTTGGTGATGATGAGGAAAAGCAGGCAGGACGCGTAGAAAGAACCGAGGAGGCGACGGAGGGAGAGGAGGGCCTCTCCAGAGAACAGGCGCGCGCTCTCGATGCCGAGCTGCGCGCCTCTCAGGTCCACGGTGGACTCCGCGGCCGCGCCCACGGCGCACTCCTCTGCGGGATGCAGCTCAGAAGTGCCGGCACCGTCGCAGCGTGAGCACCGAGCCTCCTCGCCGAAGGCCCGGGGCCCTCACGGAGCTACCCCGAGCGAGGAGCGCGCGGAGGCGGACGTGACCACCCAGACGGGCCCGTGGCGGCCCCGTGGCGGCTCCCCCCCGCCCCACCCCCAGGACGGCCCCAAGATGCCACCCGAGGGTCCCCCTTCCCGAAGGCTCCCAGGGGCCCCCGAGGGCGAGGAGCCTGCCGTGGCTCCCGCTCTGCTTCTCCCGCTCGGTGTTCTCATCCTCCATCCTCTTCGTCCTCGGTGTCCTCGGAATTGGAACGCGTGGAATCCTGTGTCACGCCTTGCGTTGGCACGACCAGTACGGAAAAGCGTTGTCGGACATGCGAGGCTCGTGTCCTCCGTAACTACCTTACATCTACCACCGCGCGTGCAGCGGTTGGTGTGTGTTGTGAGTGTTGTGTTGTGTTGTGCTGTGTTGTGTTGTGCTGTGATGTGCTTGCTGTGCTGTGTTGTGATGTATTGTGTTGTGTTGTGTTGTGTTGTGTTGTGTTGTGTTGTGTTGTGTTGTGTTGTGTTGTGTTGCGTTGACTGTGTTGTGTTGTGTTGTTGTGTTTGTGTTGTGTTGTGTTGTGTGTGTCGGTCCTTGACTTTTTCGTTATTCCGAATACTGCGAAGCAGTAGCTGAAGCCCCCGACGTATCGAATCCAACATCCTTTCATTCGTTCCCCCAAATCCCTGCATATTTCCTGCGAAGGAAATGATCACAACAACGAGAATCTGGGTAGCAGGGTGCAGTGGACCCCGGGCGTTCCCCCCCCCACACACACACCACACCCCGCCGCCTCCCCCACCAATCTGCCAGGGGCCCCCCCGGCGCGAGCCCAAGGCGGTGGCGGAAACGAGCGGCAACGCAACCGAATATCCTGCACTCCTTCTTCTCTTTCGAAGTTCCTCTTTCACATATTTTCCTCTTCCCGTTCCCCTCCTCCCTCACTTCGTCCTCTCAATCTCCTCCCCCCCATCCTCCTCCTCCTCCTCCTCCTCCTCCTCCTCCTCCTCCTCCTCCTCCTCAGCCATTTCGCGTCCGAGCGGCCTCCCCTGCACCGGGCCTCCTGGACAATGTGTCGCCCCAACTTCGAAGTGGCATTGCGCGCCCGAGCCGTAAAGAAGAAATGATGAGGCCAGGCCTCAGTCAAGAAGCAGCGCGGAACCCAACATCATCAGCTGCAACGCTGAAACCAGGCGAGCGCGCAGCCGCCAGGAAGCCCGCCCCCCTCCGCCCCCTCCTCCGCTCCTTCCTCCCCCTCCCCCACCTCCTGGCAAACCGGGGCGCCAACAGTTGCGGCGCCGCGGTCAGAGTGCAGGCAATCCGTCGAGAAGACGAAGGACGAGCCCGACGTCAGCAGCTACAACGTTGGGCTCAGGGTCACAAGCGGGAGCCAGACCATACACCTCACTGCGAGAAGCGGGATGGTGAAGGTCAAACCCAACGCCGTCAGCTACAGCCGTCTCTGCATCCGACGCTGGAGGCCAAGCTGGTGGCCGTCGAAGGTCGAGCCAGATACGGTCAGTCACAGTGCGGCGACCAGGGCATGCTATACTGGGAGTAAGATGCCACACCTCACTGCGAGGGGCGGGAGGTGAAGCTGGAACCCAACATGGGAGCCAGAGGTCAGCCATATACCACTACTGCGCGAGAAGTGGAAGGCAAAGCTGGAGCCCGCCTCTACACCCGACGCCCAACTGCGAGAAGCGGGAGGCAAAGGTAGAGCCCGACGTGATCAGTTACAGTGCTGGGATCGAGGGAAAAGCGAGCACCGGATGAGCCACGATCAGCTACAACGCTGGAGGCAGTCCCTGTGAGAAGGGCGCGCGCAGTGGCAGCACACGCTGGCGCTGCAAAGTGTGCGGGTGGGCTACGATCAGCTACAGCGGTGGGAGCGACCCGTGCGAGAAGGGGGGCAAGCAGTGGCAGCGGACGCTGGCGCTGCGAGAAAACGGTTGCGACAAGGGGGAGGTGAAGTTAGAGCCCGATGGCCTTGGCCTTCATCCTCCCCCTGGAAGGCTGAGAGAAAGAGCTGGCGCTGCGAGAGGGACGAAGGCGCGGGTGGGCCACGATCAGCTACAACGCTGGGAGCAATCCGTGCGAGAAAGGGAGCGCGCTGTGGCAGCGGACGCTGGCGCTGTGCAAAGTGCGCGGGTGGGCCACGATCAGCTGCAACGCTGGGAGTCGTCCATGCGAGAAGGAGGGCCTGCGAGAAGGGGGAGGCGAAGCTGGAGCCCGAGTGTTTCTTCTAGCTAACGCCTGGGGGAACAGCGCGTGCGAGAAAAGCGAGCCATGATCTGCCGCGGCGCAGGGGAGCGCCATCCTGCGAGAAGTGGGAGGCGAAAGCAGAGCCCGATGTCGACAACTACAGCGATGGAGTCGGGACAAGCCGCTGCGAGAAGAGAGAGGCAAAGCTGGAGCCAAACGTCATCTAGCTAACACCTCTGGGAACAGTGCGTGCGAGAAGAGCGCCATCCTGCGAGAAGTGGGAGGCGAAGGCAAGGCCCGACGGCGTCAGCTACAGCGATGGAGTCGGGACAGCCCGCTGCGAGAAGAGAGAGGCAAAACTGGAGCCAAACGTCATCTAGCTAACACCTCTGGGAACAGTGCGTGCGAGAAGAGCGCCATCCCGCGAGAAGTGGGAGGCGAAGGCAGAGCCCGACGTCGTCAGCTACAGTGTTGGGATATGGGCAAGCCGCTGCGAGAAGATGGAGGCAAAGCTGGAGCCGAACGTCACCTTCCTAGCCACCACCGCGCGCTGGGAGAAGCGGGAGGCAAAGTTGGAGCCCGACTCTATCTAGCTACACTCGCTGGAAGCAGCGCGTGCGAGAAGTGCAGGGGCCAACGAACGGGCTCTGGCGCGAAAGGGCACGGCACGGACGAGCCACCCTCAGTTACAGTGCAGAGATCAGCCAGCTGTGCGAGAGCAGGAGTGGAGGAAATCCACTCGTGCGAGAAGGGGAAAGCAAGCAGGCAGTGGCAGCGCGGCTGCCCAAGCGTGCGTGCGAGAAGCAGGCAGTGGCAGCGCGCTGCCACGGCGTGCGAGCTCTGGGCCTGCGACTCGCGAGAAGCGGGCGGCGAGGCTGGAGAAACAAATAATCTCGAGCGGGTTCATTTTAGCTACAACGCTGGAGTGGGGGCTTGCGCGAGAAGGCGAAGGGAGTGGAGACCTCTGTTTCCCCCAAGCTGTCTGGTTGGCGCGGGGACGGCCCGCCGCGGCCAGGCGGCCCACGGCACGAAACCGCAGGGCGTCGTGATCCGTTTTGGCCCGTAGAATTCGTAGAATCCTCCTCCTCCTCCTCCTCCTCCTCCTCCTCCTCCTCCTCGTCCTCCTCCTCCTTTTCCCCCTCTTTCTGTTCGTCCATTTGTTCCTGCCTCCTCCTCCTCTTCCACTCTGCCACACACGAGGCGCACGCGCCACACAGGATGTCGTCGCGAATCCGTTCTTTCGGGGGTCGGCGCATGGCGCAAGGCCCTGGGACGAAACAACTTGCGAAGAATGAACGGACCAACACCGCTACGCACAACCGCTCGGGCCTAGCAGCTCGGACCAGGCGGGCGAAGCCGTGGCCTCTAGATTCTGGCGTGTCTGGACACACGCAGTGCCATGCATCTGGGTAGGGCAACGCCCGGCCAGCCGCACATAGGCCGAGAATGATGTCATGATAAGATTCGCTCAGGATGCTTTGCAGGACTTCCCGGCTATCTAGCGGCGCGGCCGGTGCGCATTGTAGAATCCTGAAGACCTTGGCTAATGGAAGGCATCATTATCATGACCTCTTGCTCCTTTGAACGCACCCAGTCGACCGATTCGGACGCCGCTGAAGAGCGGGCGCGCAGGCGCGCACTGCAGAACTCACGCCGCACGCGGATCACGCGTTCAAGCGGGGGCCCGGCGCGCTGCCGGGGGCGCTTGCTCTGACCAGGACTCCAAACGAATGCACCTGTGAAAACGAAGGCTACGCAGGAGATCGTGTATATTGTTGCTCGAATCCCCCCTCCCCCGTGGCAGCGGGGGAAGTAAAAGAGACCATTAGACCATTTTCTTTGAGCCAACCCCGAACAGTTCTGACTACAGTTGAATACCATCATCTCTCCATGCGAAGCACAAACTTCCCCGGCATCTCCACGTGGGCGCGGGGGGCGGGTCCGCCCCCCCAGGGCTTGCAGGCCTTGCGCGGCCTCTGCGCAAGCGTCGCCGTCTTTGCCGCTGCACCTCCCTGCTACTGCTGAACGCTCTCGAGTCAGTCTTGGTGCGAGTCCATCCGCAACCAAGCCCAAAATCCCCCTTCGGAGAATAAGTCCAGGTGCGGGGCTACCCGCCACCGAAAGTGTCAGGCCGTCTTACCTGTCGCGCTGCTTCCTGCGACCACCAGTCATGTCCCCGCTGTGGATAAAATAGGGCCCGTCATGGTCGGTCTCGGCGCTTCTTGCTCAGCCGCTTCAACCCTGTTCCGCGCTGCTAAGTGATGGCGCTGGCCTGCGCGGCGTGGCTTTCACGCGCAGCCTCTCGGTGTCCGTGGCCTGCCTTTCGCTCGGATATCGCCCTCGTCGATCAGCCAGGGCGCCAAGTCGTCCCTGGCCCCTGTCACTAGTCTGCACCTGGCCTTGAGCTTTGAGCGCTGCTTGCAGATCCACCGCTGCTTGCGAGAACTTCCCGTCATAGCTCTAAGTCGGCGCGGGATAAACAGCTACCGAATTCCTTTGTCCCCGTAGACCGTCGCGCTAGAAGCCGCCGCAGCCGGCGTCGCGGCGCGCCCAAGCCCTGGAAGCGCAGGTGGAGAATCGCCAAATGATGTTTCCTTTTTGGCCACGCGCTACGCTCGGCGAAAACGCTCGCCGCCATCTCGCCAGCGCGCCCCTTCAGTGGAAGGCTCGCAGTCGCAGCCGCTCTCGAAGCCAGGGAAATCTCCACTCGAGACGTCTCGCCTTGGCCCGC